CCGGCCCCCCCCCCGGCCCCGCCCCTTACCGTGAAGGGTTTTCCTGCCAACCTGACCTGGGCTCTTTGCCTCTACTCCTGGTGATGTCTGCCCCCTTCTTTCCTGGACCTTCTGAGATGGTGAGCTATTTGTTTTAGTTTTAGTATTGTGCTTCCATTTGGACTGTACTGTTTTTAAATTTTGATTTTATTTTTTAGAACGTCTTACATGAATATTGTATTTACGCTATTTCCATCCCTCCCAGCCCCCTCCGGTTCCTCCCATGTCCCCCACACTCCTGCCTCTCAATTTCTTGTCCTCTTTTTTGATTATTATTGTTGCGTAGACACGCAAGCATATGTGTGTGTATACATAACGCACTGAGTCCATTTAGTGGTGCTCCTATGTACTTGTGTTTAGGACTGCCTACTTGGGACGAGATAACCTCTCAAGGAGCTAGTCCCTGGAGAAAATTGATTCTCCCTCCCTCAATATCCATTGATTGCCTGTCGCTCATCTTGAGGTGGGACTCTGAAATTTCCCCCATCCATCTTGGCTTGTCAACTGCCTTTGTCATTAGGCAGATCTTTTATACTACCATCCTGTAGAGACTTCAAGAGCAGAGCTTCCCTATCATGTCTACAATGCATTAACTAGCCTTTTAACTGACATGTAAACATTGTATCTGTTTAAGGGGGACCATGTAATGTTTCCATTCATGCAAAGCTCTAATGTTCAAATCAGAGCACACAAATATATCCTCTCACATACTCATTTCATTATAGTGAAATCAGTCTTTTATTATTTTTTACTAACGTATCGATTGTGCATATGAGTAGGATGCAGAGTGCTGCTTCAACACAGGAGAGCATGCAGGGTACAATGATCAAAGTGGGTGGTTGAGGTTTCCCTGCCCTCGGTGCTTCTTTATGCTCAGAATGCTTGAGCTTCTTTCTTCTACACAGAAAGACAAATTGCACACATCTTCCTGTGTAGACGCTAAGAAAGTCTATCTGAGTACAGAATAATAACTGCTAGAGGCTGGGAAGAGGGGACAAAGGGAGATTGGACAGAGTACCAAAAGAGGCAGGAATGATTCTGCTGTCCCCAGCATGGGTCACAATGGCCTGTTATGTGTTGAAGGAAGCCACTGCTGTTTTCACACAGCTCCTGTATATTCTTGCTCACCCTTGCATCCATCCTTCCTAGCCTCCTGCTCAGCCCCTCTTCCCACCATGTCTACACTCATCCTCTAGCTCTCGTCTGTCTTCCTGGTCTCCTTGCCCCGAAGTCTTACTGTTTTTCTCATGTCCCTGCTTCCCAACCTTCTTGTTCCATGAGCCTCTCATCTCCAGCTCTGCCACTGATCTTACCACATCTGGTTCTAACCCCCACCACGGCTGGGTTCTGGTTACTTGCATCTGCCCTTGCATTTCCACTTGGGGATCCATCTATCCTCACTGTGCTCATTCAAATGGTCCTCACCTTTCATCACTTCCTGTCTTTGCTGAGCTGCCTCCCCCAAGTCTTCCTGCAGCTTTCTGCCTCCTTTGAGCCCTACTTCCTTTCTGGTATTTGTCTCCATCCCTCTCCTGGTCCAGTCAGCAGTCACCATTTCTGTGACTAAGATTGCTGGGACACATGCCCAAACAGAACCAAGCAAGGGCTGCATCTTAGATCTGAGTACTTTAGTACTAGTAAAGGTCCACAGAGATTTGTCCCCAATTTTGAAACCCAGAAAGTTCTGAAAACTGAAGATTTGGTCACTTTAGTCTACAGATCTAGACTGAATGGACCA